CACGTCCTGGTTCTCATTATGCCAGTGGAAAAAAAGTGGGAGCAGGCTGTAGATGACATGTGTCTTCAGGGGTTGTTTACTCTCCTCCACTCCCAACTCCATCACCTTTTGGAAGAGGTTAATGGAGAGCACCTGCACGTGGATGTTGTCCTGATGGAAAAAAAGAGGAAAAGACCTCAGCTGCTCCAGGCCCACCGGGGCACAAGCCTGCAAATCCACAGGCCACAGTTTCCTGGCAGCACCCAGCGCCTGGGGTGGGGGGCACAGAGCCTTACGTAGCCAAAGAGTGGCTGGAGCATCTCAGCCAGCTGCAGGGCAGTGAGGGTGGAGATTCGGATGTCTCTGTCCTGGACTTCATTGATGAATACAGAGAGGGCCATCCTGACCAGCTCTCTGTCTGTATCCCACAGTACTTCCATGAGGCTTGGTGTCAGCCTCTCTATGCCGTCAGCCTGTGTGGAACACAATGCTGTGCTGTGAAGCCATGAATCATGGAATCCTAGAATATCCCGAGTTGGAAGTGACCCACAAGGATCATTAAGTCCAACTCCTGGCCCTGCACAGGACCATGCCCAACAATCCCATCGTGTCCCTGAGAGTGCTGTCCTTGAGCTCTGGCAGCCTTGGGGCCGTGACCTCTTCCCAGTGGGGCCTGTTCCAGTGCCAGAGCACCCTGTGAGTGAAGAACCTTTCCCTACTCCCCAAGCTAAATCTCCCCTTGGCCCAGCCAAGCGATTGCACTCCCCAGCCCCAGGCTGCCGGCACAGCTTCAGCCAATTGCCCCCTCCTCACCATCCCAGGATCCTTGCTTAGCACCACCAGGCTTCTCAGCACCAGGCGACGCATCTCTGTGCACTGGCTCCACAGGTGCCTGGAAAGGATCTCCAGGACGATGTCACTCCATTCAGTCATGTCCGGGTAGTCCAGGACCTGAAAGGCAGGGAGCAGTGACGGGGTGCCCGGCCGGCAGGAGCCCAGACCCGCACCGGGCTGGGCCCAGGCAGCAGCGCAGGGCGCGGCACCGTCCCGGGCAGCTGCGGCTGCGAGAGGGCAGAGAGGTGGAGGCAGGTCAGCAAGGCAGCGCTCGCCATCAGGCTCACCTCCACAAGGAATGCCATGGCAGGAAGCTCCCAGGAGGTCTTCTCCCTGGTGAGCAGCCTCAGCAGGCGGCAGGCAATCCGGTAATACAAGGGAGTGGAGGCACGGCACATCTCCCTGCCCGGGGGAAACAGGCACCATCAACCCTGAGCGGGGGGGCCAACCTCTCCAGGGACTCGCTGACAGAGTCCTGGTCTTTCCCCACCAGGTTGGGAGGGGACAAGGGCATTCTGGGAGGCGGCTCCTCCTGTGCACCCGCCTCTCCCAGCCTTTGCCACTCTGCTCGGCCATCCCTGGGTGACAAGGCCCTCTGGCCCACGACCACGGGCACTGCGTGGGGTGCCCCGTGCAGAGAGCAGAAATGACAGGGGCAGCGGGGACAAGGGGGTCTCACCTGGCCAGCAGACCCACTGCGTAGTGGTGGGTGTCGGCGCTGAGGAGCGTGTCCCAGCCGCGCTTCTGTTCCATTGAAAACACGACATCTTCACACTCCAGATGACGAAGCACGGCCTTCAGGGTCAGCACTGCAAACCTGGGTGCAGAGCAAAGCCCAGGTCATGCTGGGAGCCCTGAGCAGCCCCGAGGGCATGAGAGGATCAGGAGGACTGGGACTGAGCACCTCTTGGAGTCTGTTGGAAGGTCGCATTGTTTCTGGCATTCCCTCCACAAGGTGTCAACTTCCTCTGGCGTCTGCTCTGGGCTGATGGAAGTCTGGAAGAGCAGCTCCACGAGGAGACGGGGGGAATACTTTTTCAATGGCTCTGTGCGCTGGAGCATCTGGAGAATCTCCCAAATCACCCTGGTTGCCTGCAAAAGATAAAGCACCCGGACACAGGTCTCAGTGCCCAGATGTCCATGTGGAAGAGCCCAGGTGTGGGAGGGAGAGGCCAGGGAAGACGCAGGGGCAACCCCCAGCCTGGTGCCCCTGAACCCGCCCCTAAGCCAGGTTTCCAGCCCAGCGCCTGAGGCAGGGAGATGCAGTGTTCTGCTCGGGGAGGATGGAGAGCTGCTGGAGAAGCGACCTGTCGGTAAGTAAGGTCCAGTTCTAGAAACTCACAGCCAGGGCAAAGACATGTGTTTTGTCCCCGTCGGAGGTGGGCCTGCTGAGCCATGGCCAGTTCTGCATCACACGGAGCAGCTCTGGCAGCACCTTCACCACTGTCCTTCCCGATGAGGCGATGATCTTCC